AGGAAGGAAGGAAGGAAGGAAGGAAGGAAGGAAGGAAGGAAGGAAGGAAGGGCCTGCTGTTATGATGAGCTCTTTGCTCATCAGCAACTTCTTTTGAACTGCTTACTTCAAAACAGATTTACCACAGATATTTACTGGAGATGTTAAAACATATTTCTCTAGGTGGTAATCCCAGCTCTCTGCAAAATCTGACTATTCCATCATCTGCTACTAACACAATTCTAACACAGTTCCACCTCTCTATCTCCATCCCAGCAGCAGACTAAGAAACATGTTAAACTTACAGCAAATTGGCTCATTTAGGGCTACTGCAAAAGGAAGTCTCAAAGAGCTCAGAGCAGGCATAAGTATCATCAGTCCATGGACTTTTCCCTCTATCTGGATTTAATTACCAAGGAATGGTGAAAGCAGCACAGCTACTTTTTGTTCAAGTAAAGCTGCTTGCGAATTTACTGACAAAGCTATTTTTCAGTGAAAAATTAGGAGTTTGAATTATTTATGTTTTACTTCTGAACACATCTATATGGATTTTTCATAGTAAACCCATAAACCACAGTCTCTTTGCCATGATTTTTTTTAAAAAAAAGCTTTTCTTTTGTAGATAACTGTTTTCCAGTTACCAAAACTCAAAATTGATTGGTTTGTAAGAATTGAAAAATTTCCACTGAAGTAAACTATTCCCCTGATGTTACCCTCTGACAGCAATGAACTCAACCCAGTGCTGCAGCCCAGGTGTTGAGGATCCTCCTGGAAGATCAGTGTGCAGAGCTGTCACATTTAGGTTTCAAACAGCAGCAGAACTGGTCCCAAAATTCTTCACAGGCTAGCGCAAAAAAAAAGCTAGGAATGTTTTGTGGTGAATTTTTTTCCATATATGACTTCAGCTAGAGTCTTGGCTCTCAGCCATTCAAAACAAAAAAAATCCTTTCAAATTTAGAGTGAACTTTGAAAGACACACAAGTAAGAAAGACTGCACACAAATAAAAGCACATGATAGAACTGCTAAAAAATACCAAGTAATAAGAAATTGCTCTTTTTATACATTTTTCAGAGCATTCATGCTCTTTGTTTCTCAGTTCATTATCTATATATTTTTAATTGAGGCCTAAAGGAGCATACACTCCCGTTAGAAAAATATTATGCTGAAGAATAGCTCAAAATACCTTTCTCCAAAATAAGGAATACTATCCCATCCAGAAGAGTAAACCCCATCATCTACTGGGGGAGAAAATTAACTTTGAATGTAATTTGCTTAGCTGCAAGAAAAGATTATTGGGTTGGTATGTAGACATCCTCTATTACTTCTTGTTTTTAAACCATAACCTTACAGCTAGACACTTATATAACAGAGAATAGTTAAAGGCAGATTTATGATGCCATGAAATGGACTTAAAGTAGAGTCTTACTCTTTGACTTAAGTTGGCAAGCATTTTACTTTTTTACATAATCCAGCATCTGCTGGAAGCTGTAGGATGTTCCTGGAAAATATCTGACCTTTTTATTATTTTTTTATTATTACTGGAAAAATACTACAGGAAGTACTGATTCCAGCCTGTAAAGTATAAATACCCACAGTTAAGCTCATTTCTGCAGAGGCAATATTTGGAGTGTAAAAACTGTACAGGAGAACTTCAATCTGAACTCAGCACTGTAGGAAAATCTAGTACAGTCCTTTCTATGTTGGTTTTTTTTTTTTTAATAAGTTGTAACTGAATTTGGTATACCCACCTCCTTGGTCATTTGAAAAAGAATTATTTCACAGCACGTGGTCCCCAGAGATACCAACTTTTCTCTGCAGCCCATCTGACATTAGCAAAGCCTGTAGACATGGTGTGTCTTGTCACTCTGAGATGAAAGTGCTCGAGGCAAGGAGTGGCTAAAAGGTGACTATAAAACTAGATTAAAATAAGAGTGAGATGAAGACAATTTACTACTTCTTGGTATAGCTTGCCAAAGAAAACCACATGCACCTCATTTTCAAGAAAGTTTCTTAAAGAAACTTGAAATTAGGGATGGAATTTTGAGCAATCTCTAGCATGTTAAGAAATTGTAGTTTTCATCTATGAAATTATCTGATTTGGTTAAAGATCAAAACAAACCTGAGCCTCTGGTAGCTCCAGAAGTGTATTGCAAGCCTGAATTATGCAAATAGCACTCCCTTTAGCACGAGAAATATCTGTTTTTCTTCTGACAGAATTGCAGCCTGTGTATTTTTATTACAGCCTTCCATTTCCTGAATTGACTTCCAAGATCAGTTTGGCATCACAGTTTCAGTTCTTACCTCTGAAGTCTCCAAGAGCACTCAAACATGGTCATCACATATCTGACTGGTACCCAACCTTCTCTATCAAGCACAGTGCAACTCTACACAATGAAGCTACAGTGCAAGAGATCAGGATTCTTCAGTAGTCTGCTTGAAGTATGGATCAAATTTCAAGAGGAACTGAGAACCAACCGTAATCTATCCCACATTCAGCAGCAAGTGGAAATGTACTTGTCCTATATTGTGTTCTTTAACAAGATTACAGAACAATCAAAACATTACTAGATGATTTTTATATGTGAAGGAAAAAATCACCTTCACACATACAAGTTTTCTTTAGGAGAGAAAATTATAAGGAACCAAATGTATCAGGTTTTGTTATGAAACATTCTACTGAAAATCCCTCAGTTATATTGGTGAAGTTGGTTTGAAAAGTCATCAGAAAACGAACTGATCTGATTTAGTTCTCAAGACTATGATCAACTACTTTGCTGCATTTTTTTACAGAAGGATATAGCTTATGGAAGAATCACCTAACTGTGGAAAACTATCCACACAGCTGAGAAGGGCTACAATTTGGCTTCTATCCTTACTTTAATCAGAGTTTATATGCTTTATGTTTGTGGAGGAACGCTGGATCAATTCTACATTTAGTGACCATACTTAGTAATTAACAAATTAACTAACTCCAATTATTCTTACTGCGAGAAGGGCCCTCAAGCCTCAGATCTTCCACCAGTCTTCTGTTTTCAAGGACTGTGACTGTATATCCATGTTTTGTCAGGATGCGCTGACAGAGCTGACGGTCAGTTTCATGGTGAGCAGGAGGTGCATAGAGAACTGCTCTTCTCGTGTGGCTTCCAAAGTACTGGAGAATGGAGGCATCAATCTACAGCAAACACAGTGCAAAGACAATGGTTGTAAGATAGGACATTCCTCAGCAGTATAAAATACAGTTGTTGTTTTTCACAAAAAGAAGCTAGTAACTTACTGTGACAACAGTGAAAATAGTTCCAGTATCTTTAAGAATTCTTTTTATATCAGGGACTCTGGAACACAAATTCCATCTTGTCTGCCTCTCCATTTTTTCTATCTTCATTTTGAACTGACACTATAAAGGTTTGAAAGTTCTAGTTAGCACTCAAGGATCTTTAAACCATGTTCTTGCCCTTGTGGAAACAACTTTTCCTGAAATCTAGGCTGCTCTGGTGAACCGGCAACAGCAATTGCCATCTGACTTCGATGGTGGCTGTGGTCACCTAAACAGAGGCCTTGGTAGGTCCCATGTGAACTGTTCCAAGGAATCCGGGTCCTATGCAGATGGTAAGTGCAGGCATCTGAGTTGTGCTATGCAGAATTATTGAGTAAGAAGAGTGCTGGGGTAAAATCATACACAGGAATCCTAAACAGATATGGAGATTACTGTGCTCTAAAAAGTTAAATGTAACCTTGTCAGTTCTTTATTGACTTATTAGTCCCATACAATCTAGCCCACAGGAGGACCGGCAGAGAGACTCGCCTATAAGAGCAAGTGGAAAGGTATCTGATGCCTCCAATGAATCCCAAGATACACTTGGATTATCTACCACTTACTCTCTTCCCATACAGTGCCTAGGGACAAAGGCATTTAGAGAAGACCCTTCCTCTATATCTACCCTGGAGTACGAGCTTTTTGAAAGAAAAAAATGGAAAACAGACACCACAAACACACAGTCATAGTGCAAACATAACATCAGTTTCTGAAAAGGGCAAATCACTGGGCCATTGCCATCAGATCTTTGGGCAAGGGGGATATTTTATGCCTTAAATAAATGTGGTGGGTTAACCTTGTCTGGAAGCCAGGTGCCCACCAAAGCCACGCTACCACTCCTCTTTCCAACTGAACAGAGGGAAAAATACAATAAAAGTCTTGTGGGTAGAGATCAGAATAGGGAGAGATCATTCATTGATTACTGTCATAGGCAAAACAGACACAGTTTGGGGAAACTGATTTGTTCAATAATAAATGGAATTAGAGTGAGATAATCAGAAATAAAACCAAATCTCAATACACCTTTCCCCCACTTGTCCTGTCTTCCCAGGTTCAACTTCCCTCCTGAATTCTCTACCTCTCCCTCAGTGGAGAAGGGCGGCTGGGACTGGAGGCTTGGAGTTCATCACACGCTGTCTCTGCTGCTCCTTCCTCCTCAGCAGGTGGACTCCTCATACTCTTTCCGTGCTTCAGTGTGGGGTCCCTCCCACTGGAGACAGTCCTTTATTAACTTCTCCAACATGAGCTTTTCCTACAGGCAGCAATTCTTCAAACTGCTCTGGCGTGGGCTTCTTCCACAGGGCCCAGCCCTTCAGGAACAGACTGCTCCAGCATGGGTACTCCATGGCCTGCTGGTGGATCTCTACTCCACTGTGGACCTCTGTGGACTGCAGGGGAGAGTCTTCCCCACCACAGTCTTCATCACTTCTGCAGGCAACTCTGTGCTCTGGTGCCTGAAGCACATCCCCCCCCTCTTCCTTCACTGACCTGGTGTCTGCAGAGTTGCTCCTCGCATACATCATCACTCCCCTCTCTGGTTGCAGTTGCACAGTTGCTTTTTTCTCCTTTTTACATCTGTTATTCCAGAGTTGCTACCACCATCACTGATGGGCTCAACCTTGGCCAGTGGCAGGTCTGTCTTAGAACAGGCTGGCATTGACTCTGGGACATGGGAGAAGCTTCTGGCAGCTTCTCACAGAAGCCATCCTGGTAGGCCCCCATTACCAAAACCTTGCTGTTCAAACCCCAATAAAATAGAATAAAAATAGAATGCTCCATGTGGTAATTAGAATACTAATATCTGCAACAATCTAGCAGTTCTTTTGCAATAAAAACACCGTTATAAACCAAGATTTTATTTTGGTGAAAGATATTTGTCTTTAGGATTGAAATATACCAGCAGAGATTAAATTCAGGACAGGAATTTAGTTCTTTGCAAGTTTGTGAATTTCAACCTGACAGCTGTCAGCAGTTTAAAAACTAAGTTATTCCATAACTTCTAATTTTAGTAAGCTTATCACTGGAGATAGGAAGCACTACACAAACAAGTCACCACTATTTTTTGCACAGTAGACTAGACTGAAAAGAGACAGATGCTTTCACACAAATAAATATCATTCAAGATGTGTCCAGTTGTTTACAGGCCTGGGATCCAGTACTAAAATCACTCTTCTCAGTAGTGTATTCCTTGAGTATAGGATGCTGTTTTACATTGTGCTTTCTGCAGCAGTAAAGAGAACAAACTGTTTCAGAGTTTCTAAAATGCATTTTTTTTTTTTATTCCAGAGCAGTCATTACCCCTGGAAAGCATTAGCATTATTGATGAAGGGACCTTGAAAAAATTTCAATACAACACTATCAGAGTCTTCCACATTTGCTAAATGTGCAACCCAAAACTAGTTTAGAAACTGAGATATTCAAGTAAAGGTTGATCACTTGCTGGAAGGAGTAAGCACACTTAGCACAGGGTGACGTCAGCGGAACTGTGTTAGGTCACCTGTTTGATAGTGTTCCTGACATCCCAGAATTTTTAAAACACATTAATCACATGGCAAGCACAGGGTTAGTCTCAGATGGCCCATGCCCATCAGAGCAACTCTCTCTCACTCTCATTCCCTTCTGCCTTTGCCCCCCTTCCTCTCCTCTTATCTTTTCTACTTCCTGTTCTCTTGCAGCGCCAGCAGCTGCTGGCAGCCCTTCCTCTCCATTTCCCTTCCTCCCTCCCTGTTCCTAAATCCAGCCCTTATCCCAGCCCCCCTCTTGTGTTCTCTCTCCCTTCTCTTCCAGGCATTCCAGCCAAATACTACCTACTTTCCATTTCACTTGCATCATGGAAGTAACCCAGAAGACAGTGACACCTCTTGCTTTATTTTGCAAGAAAATTCCATTTTCCATCCCAGGTGTGCTGCAGGGGCCCGTGCTGCAGGGTGAACTGAGGACACGTGAGGAATACAGAGGGGCTGCAGACCAGAACATGTCCCTGTTCCTGTTCCATTTTTGCTGGCTATTATGGCTTCTCCCACTCCCATCCCTCCCAGCGTGGCCTGGGGCAAGGGTCCTGCCTTGGATGTGGCGGCACTTTGTGTGCCCCCCCTCCTCACCAACAATTACCACACTAATGTTATGCCATGAAAACACACCTTTCTTCGTGGAAGCAAAGCCTCCTGCAGTGTCATCTCTGAAGTATTTTGCTTCAAGCACCCAGCAATGACCCCGTTCCCCCGCGGCCAGTACTGCAGGGCCAGCCAGGGCCGACTCCAGTCCCAAGGCTCCCCAGCTCGCACATCTGCTGCGTCAGGCCTCGGCCCCGGTGCCCTGCGGGCCCGAGGGACCAGGCACAAGGAACAGGAACCAAGCAGGCCCAGGCATCCCCAGGGGCTCAGCCCGCCTGCCTGCAGCGGGATGTGCCAAGGAAGATCTCGCCTCAGCATCAGCCGTGATACGGAAGGGATCTTCCTCAGGTCTCTGGGGAAGGAAGGGCTGCAGTGTTTACAATGCTCGAATTTGGCAGTGACGAATATTCAACAGCACACTGATAGCAGCATAGGAGAGGAAAAAAAAGGGGGGGGGGGAAGTTCAGGCAGTGGCCTAAACCTGGGTCACTTCCACAAAACACAAAGGAAATGGCCCCGAGCGGCTCCACGGGGCCCACGCAGCGTTCAGCTCCCACCGGGCGCCGTCCCCGGGATGGGTGATCAGAGGGCTGGCGACAGCCCGCACAGACAGCACAGCACCAGCTGCTGCGGGGGCTTTTCTTGGGACACTCGCTCCGGAGACAGCAAAAGCGCTGAGGCTGCTGCAGCCCGAAGCCTGCACCGAGCAGGGACACGTTGGTGTGTGCCCCAGCCCTGCCTGCCGCCCGGGCGCTGGTGAAGGCGCTGGGTACTGGCATTTGTATCCACCAGCTCCCCAAAGTGCCGCAACGGCGTCTCTGGGACATAGAAACAATCCAGAAGTCTAAATTTAACAGCTTGACCTGATGTCTAATCTGGTACGATTAAATAATATGAAGTATCTCCACACCTTTTAGGGTACTTGCTTGAGATCCATGCTTAGTACTGCCAAATTTATTTTCTCTGCCCTGTCCTTTCATAGCTATTTGCACCCCACGTTATAAGATGCAACATGTCCTCTCTGTTTGCTACGCCAGTGCAGTGTAGGGTGGGTTTTCACCTACACAGATTTTTTTTTTTAAAAATCTGACCAATTGCATGCTTGTAGCAAGTGATTCCATACTGTTTTCCAAAGCTTTATACAAAATGCCTTGTATCACTGGACATACTGATCTAGTTACTACTAGATGTTTTTCAGAATTTCCAATATTATAGCAATAACAGTCATGTTTATATATTTAAAGAGTCTGCTGGTTTTCATAAAATGTTTCTCAGTCATAAAAATGAGATCTGGGCAGAGAGTACAAGACAAGCAGTGTACAATAGATGAAAATAAGCTGTTCACATATTTCCACATATTATGGTTCTGATTTTTTTGCAATTCCTATGATTTTAATGTACAGCAGACTCAGAAACAAACAAAAAAAAAGGATCAATAACATTTAAAAAATTTGAGAATTGTAAACGGTCAAATGTTCCCATGTCCCAATGATTCTTTTGGCTCTTTTCAAGTTTGAAGACTCAGACTATTTGTTAGCAGGTCAGTTTATTACAGACTCAATGTGCCTTACGTGAAAGGGATTGGTAAGAACATCTGCAGTCCATGTCATAGCTAGAAAATTGTGTGTTTGTCTCCACAGAAATTAGTGAGGCTTTACAGTAAGGCTGAGATCTCCCATATGATTTTGGATGAGACCTATGTCAGCTTTGATATGATATACCTGCTCTTACAGCTCACAAAATACT